AGTCAAAGTTAGCCAACTATGACTTTTGTCTATATGGAAGCAACACTGTTTTCAATGAAAAAAGCCAGTAAAAGCAGTAGAAATGAACTGACCATAGAGGGACATGAAACAAGGGGGAAGAAACAGGAAAAGGAGCTTCAGTTTTCCAACACAGGTAAGGAGGAGAGAGAAGAGAAATTTTATAGCATCTCCCTTCTAAGCAAAAGCTGGCAAGAACTATGGAGCCTATCTGGTTCAGTCAGCTAGTTTCAACCATTCATTCTTTTATTCATTCCTTCCTCATTCAAGAAACAACTACTGAACATCTTCTGTGATTAAGAGAAAAGACAAAAGGAGGAAGAAATAAGATACACTTAGTTCTCAATTAATTGCCCCAATAGGGACTTAAGAAAACATACAAATTAAATCCACACACTGGACCCAAAGTCTAGTTTCACCGGTTATATCACCTTTCTAGACCACTAATCTTTCACCAGAGAAGCCATCCCTGCTTCTTTCCTTTCATCCATCAGCAAGTATATTTTAAAACCAAAGAAATATTTATAAGTATGCACAAAAATCCTTAAGCAATACTGCAAAGAATAGTGAAACACTATAAATTGGTTTCTCAAGACATTAGTGCAAATAAAAGGACACAGATTTTTAATGCCAAAAAGCGCTTCACTGGCAAACCAAAGAAATGCACACTCAAGTAATGCGATGAACAGAGTTCAACAATTCACGCCATAAAAGTCAATCACAAAGCACTGCTTCACATGAATTTATAAGGCACAAAGCAAAGCTCAATGATTTTTTGTCAGTGAAAAAGAATAACTGAAATAGCATACTGTTGATTACGTACAGTTACAAAACCTGAAATTACCATTTCAAAAGAAGAATGCCATTATAAATTTATTTCATACACCAAAATGTTAACAGGTGGTGGTGTTTGGGAGATGAACTATGGGTAATTCTCATGTTTTCAATTCTATCATTCTGTATTTTCCTAATTTTCTTAATGGACCTATATGCTTTTATAATGAAAAGTAAAATTTATGATGAAAATTAATTTTTCTGGTTTTTTGCTTACATGTCCTTCCAGTATCTGATGTGCGTCCCCCATCACCTTCAGTATAAACGGGAACTACTGTAACCGTGTATGGGGTATCTGGCTGCAGATTCCTAAGAATGGCATAATTGGTATTCCCAGGGATCGGTACCTAAAGATTTTAATAAAACATAAAGCATTTGATATGAAAAACTTGTAAAAGAAATAATACTTCAAACAAAATAATACCAACTCAAGACCAAGAAGCAAGTTCTGTAATACCAGGATATAATGATGTGCCCCCGTATGAACTGATACAAAAGGTTATGAAGACTTCTCTACACTCATACACTCTCCCTTTAGAACTTTCTGGAATGATCACTTCTTCCCCTGGCTCCAATCCCTCAATGCCCCTACTACTTAGTTTCTAAAGCACGAACTACTTACCCTTTGCCGAGTCCTATTAAATGAATATGAACTTCTTCAGCTCTAAAGCAAACTGGTTAACTCTTTTAGTTCCACTTTTAAATCACTTAGCTACAGTTCAAACAAACTAGCATTTTCAGTACAGGAAATAGTTACCAGTTCCTCTGGACCACTAGCTGTTGGTGCATAGAAAAGCTTGTACTGGCGAGGATTTCCCTCTGCATGGTCCCAGCGAACATTCAAAGTGCTTGTAGAAGGGTCATACACTCTCAGGTTCTTCACAGTATTCAGAGGTTCTGAAATGCACAGAAGTCACATCACAGTATGATCTTAACAACCAAGCAACACAAAACACAGGTTCGTTAATATCTCCCAGGCACCCTACAACATAGCAGGCACCCCACAAATATTTGTTGAAGTAATGAATAAACAACAAAAAAAGTCTGTGTTAATCTGGTACATACATCTCATCTATCTGCAAGACATTTTGGCCTTGAGCTCTTTTTATCCTAGAAAGTAATAACATTTTCCTCCACAAATAGAGACAGATAATTCCAGGCAAAGATGTTAAAAAACAATTAATGCCTTCTTTTGACTGAATTTTAAAAGTTTAGTAAAACTTTGTGTCACCCGGTGTTTCTGGATGAAGACGTGACTCCATTCCAATGGTAGTTGTTAAAGAAGCTATACAGGAACTCTCGTTTTACTCACTGGTCTTGCCTCTTCCCGTCATCCGCCCTCCTTCACCATCAGGATACAGGGAGGATACAGTGATTGTGTAAGGAGTGTCAGGCTTCAGTTTCTGCAGGACCACACTGTTCTGCCGTCCTCCTATTGTGGTCTTGAGTAAAACAGGTCTTGATAAGCATTAGCCTTGTTCTCTCCACCTCGCTCATCTGTTAGAAAAAGCTCTTTCTACAGAGGAGCTGTGTGAAATCCTTGCCAAGTTCTGGACTCATACACCACAGTGAAGGTTAAAAATATAGCTTATGGCATAATTTTAAATGTAAAATATTCACCTCAAGTCATAAAAAGGATTCCAAGCTTTAAATTAGTGAGCTCAAAAAGACATTTTAACTTGCTAGCCGCCAGCACTGTGAAATTTCATCCAAAACAGATTTTACAGAACTCTTCCCAAAAAAGGCATTAATCTAAGTGAGCTACAAAGGGACTTTAAGATACCAAAGAATTGCATAATTTTAGAGGTTCCACCCCATTCAATATTATTCTTACCTTTTTACAGATTTTTTTTATTTGCTTTAAGAGACACATTAAAATGATTCAGCAAAAGATCTAAAGCTCTTGGTGTTTCCCCCCAAACACTGCCATTCTATCAGCCTTAACTGTGTAAACGTGACCAGACCCTTTCCAGGCCACACTCAGGCAGGGGTTCCCAGTTGTCCCCATGATACCAGCCTTGTCATATGAAGCTTTTCAATTTCCTCCAATTATGGAGTTTGAAGTTTTTTATTCATTGCTTAAGGCCCTCTAGCTATCTTGTTGAAAGAAAATTTGTACAATTTGTTAACAGCCTACCGAATTCAGATGTTTATGCCATACTAATTAAAATTGCATGAAAATGGCATGCTGCCCACAATGAGTACACATGAGGATGGCTGGATATGCTAGTACAGAGCAGATGTTTCCAACTTAGCACCCATCCACTCAAGTAGTCTGTGTTCCAGAGAAAACCTCAGTGAATCACTGTAATCATCCTCAGTATAAGCAAATTGAACCATAGTGGCTAATTTTCATAAATTTAATATTCGAAGTTATGAAAAAAGTATCAATATCAGTACAAGCCATTTTTATAAAAATTTGGTACATAAATCTGCAAGCATCTGTACAGAAGCACTAGCCTTATGAGTAAGCAGAGGGGTGTCTACTCCCATCCAACTCTCTAAAATAATTCTAGAATTAGTGATTCATTACTTTGATGAGTTCATGGACTAGCATTAAAATGCAAATACCTCTAAGAACAACAACTTAAGGGATTTGATAGTTTCCAAAGGGTATGTTTTTGAGACTCTTTCTAATGATAACAAACAGCTGAGGGACAGTATAAAAGACTCAGGAGAAGCAGTTGGAGCATCAGTATCACCAAGAAAGGAAATGTTAAGGACAAGCTTTGCCTGCTTTATAATTTTACCAAAATCTGACCTGGCACAGAAAAAATGTTCTACTTCTGAAATTAAAATATCATTCCATCTAATTTGTTTTATATTATTTTTATGTAAAAGTTATTTGACTACAGTTGATATTTAGTTTATTATTAATAATCTATTTAACTAAAATAGACAAATTCTCAGTCCAAATGCATCACACTACCTAAGACTGGAGCTATGGAAACTGCAAAAGACCAACTCAAAAGTCACACTAGCGGGCCGGCCCGGTGGCGCACTGGAGAGTGCGCCGCTTGGGAGCGCGGCGGCACTCCCGCCAAGGGTTCGGATCCCATGTGGAGACCGGTTCCCGCTCACTGGCTGAGCGCAGTGCGGGTGCAACACCGAGGGTTGCGATCCCTTTACCGGTCAGTAAAAAAGACAAAAAGGAAAAAAAAAGTCACACTAGGGATGCAAGGGTTTCCAATCCAACTAAGCCCACTTACCAGGTGGTATCAGAAACCTTGACCACACAACTTTAACTGCTGCCAGGCTCCACCTCTGCTAACACCTCTAAACTGGTAAGTGACCATTAGCTTGAGCCCAGCAAGTCAAATGATCAAAGATTAGTAACACATTTCTCTCTAAGGCTATGTAAGGAAATGTTATAGCCAAAAAAAAGCCAGCAGAATTCTGAACCTCACCAAAAGAGGTATTTGAAATAAATCAGAAAGCACACCCCATCTGTGTAGAAATCATGATGTTTCCTGACCTAGGATAATGTATGCAATTCTAGTCACATACTTTACAAAAGGCAAAGCTGGAGAAAATCCTAGAGCAGACAAAGTAAGCAAGGTAAATGTGCAAAGGCTCTATTAAATAAGGAAGACTGGTAAGTTAAAGAAGATGAAGGCTGAGTTTACAGTCCCACCATCTTTCTTGGGTACCTCCATTTGGATAATAGAAAAATGACAGATGTTATGAATTGGGTGAACAGGCTTCCAGATCTGGAAATAAAAGATCTAGAAGATACTCTATGACGTGCAAAAACCAAAAATAAATAAATAAATGAATGAATGAATGAATAAATAAATAAATTATAATAAATAAAAGAAAACAAACTTCATAGGTGAGTTCAGCAAACTTTCAGCACTTGATTAAGTTAGAAAGATGTACTGAAGATCTACATAGACTCAAAAGCTATCTAGATACCTACATGGATAACGCAGCCCTAATAGATTTTAAGGAAATGTAGATGCATTACGGCACATGCCTGATGCTTTGAAGCTATTATGAAGAGCAACTATCATCTCCCATAAGAACATACAAACAGAGTGCCAGCTAGAGAGTCAGATGATTCCATACAATACAGTAAATCTTGCATCCCTTAAAAAAGTAAGTATGATTACTAAACACTGAGAGTGAGAAGAGTTCGAGAAAGAATGGGTAGAATTTATCCAAGTTACCATTTTTTAAAAATAAATTACCATTTGTTCATTGCCTTCCCCTGCTGAAGGCTGATAGGTGATTCTGTATTTCTGCACACGACCACTAGCAGGATCCCACTTAACAGTCAAGCTGTTAGATGTTGCATTGTACACTTGGAGGTTTCGTGGGCCACTTTTTGGAGCTGAAAGAAGATTGTTGAAAAACAGAGTAATCACACAGAACAATGCTTCCTCCCAAAATATGTATGGTTCATATAATTCCCACAGAAATCAAAAGAATTGTATTATCTATAGGTTTAGAATTAAATTTGACCCCATAGTTAAAATGGTCATTAAATTATAAATGACTCCTTGGTATTGACTGAAGTTTTGTGACCTCTCAAAAGTCATATATTGAAGCCCTAACCTCCAACATGACTGATGGTATTTAGAGATAGGGCCTTTGGGAGGTAATTAGGATTAGATGAGGTCATGAGGGTAGAACCTTCATGGTAGGATTAGTCTTTGTAAGCAGAGATAAGAGAGAACTCTCTCTCTCCACCATGTGACAACAGTTAGAAGATGGCTCTTTACAAGCCAGGGAAAGAGCCCTTACCAAGAACTGAAACAGCTGACACCTTGATCTTGGACTTTCCAGCCTCCAGAATTGTGAGAATATAAATTTCTGTTATTTAAGCCATCCAGTCTGATATTTCATGACAACCCAAGATGACTAATACACTCATTACCAAGTAGTAACAAAACAAAGTTTTTTTAAAAAGGCCTATGTAAAAGAGGTCCCCCATCTGTAATTAACAATAATTCATTGTATACTGTCAAATGGCTAAAAGAGAGGAGCTTAAATGTTCTCATCACAAAGAAATGATAAATTTTTACAATGATGAATTTGCTAACTACCCTGATTTGATCACGACATACTGTATATATGTATTGAAATATAACTCTGTACCCCATAACTATGTATAATCAATATTTTTCAATTAAATAAAAGTAAATAAATAAATAAAAGAGGTCCTAGTCAACCCTGAGATTTAAAAGCAGGAGGCCTATTCATAATGTATTCTATGGTGTTTTTCATTCATTTATTATTTGCTCATTCAAATAATTCAGCAAGTTAAATTCTTACCTTGGGTTGTTAAGGGTATCAAACGCACTAAAATAAAACAGAATTTGGGGGAACATTACTAATATAGCTGTAGCTCTACTTTTAAAAAATTAACTTTAAAATATCAATGTCCTGTTTGAAAGCTGAATACCTACATGTGCGCTCACTGCCAGTCAGGTCATCACTTTCTGATTCATCAGGATAGATGGCAGTAACGGAAACTTCATAGAGAGTGTTGGGGTTCAGGTTTTCAAATGCCAAAGTATTTTCATCTCCATTTAATATGGTCTTGGAGAAAGAGGACAAAAGCATACCCACACAAAGTTAAGTCTCCACTTATACACACTCAATGGCATTTTGTTGACATCATTTAGCTAGATGTTCCTCCTGCTTTCATGCATGCCATGAGCTCAAATGTCATTAGTAGGCAAAGATGCTTATCCAGAAACAGAAGTAATGCATATTTCAAACAAGTTTCCCTATAATGAAATGGAACACAAAACAAAGAGAGAGGAAGAGAGAGATAAAGAGAGTTAGCATTACCTCCATCTTATCTGAGCTTCCAAAAGGTGCCCAGGTTATTCTGTAGAGAGATACATCTGAAGCTCCATGATCCCAAGTTCCTCTGAAACTCTCTGGTGTTACTTCAGTAATCCTTAGGTTTGTTGGGGCTGGCACAGGTCCTATCAGGAGAAAAGGCAGGACTAAGTTTTTGAATGGGAGCTACAAATTTAATATAATAAAACTGCCTTGGTTTATTTTAAAATAGTTTACCAATTTAATAAAATAAATGTAACACAGAGCTCTGGAAACTGCAAGCACTGTATGGATATTATAGTTATTATTGATATCCTATTTAAAAAATGATATTTTTAAAGGTACCATTTAGTAATACTCTTCTAACTCAGTGATTCCTAACTATTTTGTGTCTCCAACTTTTTAAGAATCTAATAAAAACCATGGACTCTTTCATACAGCAATACATAAAGAACAAATTCTGGAAAATAATATCAGAGAGCGCATGGACCTTCTCCATGTATGATCCCAGGGACGTACATGAATCCAGGGTTAAGAGATCCTCCTTCTTACTGAAGAATGTCATAAACTAAGTATGCTGCTATATTACGCATTCAAGATGATGTCCAAGAAAATAGTTATTCACCTGTTGTTCAGAATTTGTTGTTCTAACCCAGGGTTAAGAGATCCTCCTTCTTACTGAAGATTGTCATAAACTAAGTATGCTGCTACATTATGCATTCAAGATGATGTCCAAGAAAATAGTTATTCACCTGTTGTTCAGAATTTGTTGTTCTAATACCCCAAAATTAACAGCAGCTTTTTTTCCTGATTCCTTTGCCTCTTTTACTACACCTGTTACGTTTATGCAAAGCTGTTAGTCTATTCATCTGCATCAATTCTCACCTCCAGCCCCGGAAAGAACTGATGCCAAGAAGGCAATTGAAATTTCTAAGAGATCTCACATGGTAAGAAAATAGCAGAGTCAAAAAGGAAGAAGTAGATATGCCTGATGTGAATACTAGAAAATTTAATATTACATATGTGGCTTCCATTATATTTGTTTGGAACACTGCTGGCTCCAGACCTAAATTATTTTTTTTTACCACCATTTGGATTAGGTTATTATGGGCCGAGCACAGGATTAAGTAATCAGGTACCAGGCACTGGAGATACGAAGTTGAACAAAATAAATGTCTCTGCCTCCATTAGCAGGGAGCAACGGAAAAGGAGAATAGATAGAAAAAGACCAACAGGCAATAATAACTGAGTTCAATATCATGGAAGTACCATGAGAGGGAGAGAAATTGACATCCCTCAAATCTGGAGCAGAATAGAAGGGAGGGAAAATCCCGGGCAAGCTGTCCTGTGTCTGTCCTGCCACTCCACTGCAGTGGTCTCCCCTTCCTCTGAAATCTGATTCTATAGCACTGTAGTGTGCCTATAATTAACAACAATTTCTTGTATACTCTCAATTAGCTCGAAGAGAGGATCTCGAATGTTCCCAAGACAAAGAAATGATAAATGTTTGAGGTAATGGGAAAAAAAAATCAGTTGCCAGGGTTTCAGGAGAGGAGGGGTGGACAGAGGGATGAACAGGTGGAGCAAAGAGGAATTTGGGGGCAGTGAAACTAACATATATGATAGTGTAATGACAAAAACATGAAATTGTGCATTTGGCAAAACCCATAGAATGGTACAACACAAAGAGGAAAAACACTAATGTAAAATCAAATTAATAATGATCTATACACATTAGATCATAATTGTAACAAATGTGCTACCCTAATATGTTAATAATAGGAGAAACTATGCGGGTGGGGAGTATGGGAACTATCTGTACTTTCTGCTTAATTTCTCTGTAAACCTAAATTGGCTATGAAAATAAAGTCTATTACTAAGAAAAAGAAATGGTGAAAGATGGAACACTTGGTTACAAAGAAAATAAGTGAAAAACAATCTATAAACCTAAGCATTATTAAATAACTGGCAAAAATAGTATTAAAAAATGAAATGACCCAGTGAGTTGAGCTACACATGCATGTAAAATGTTGTTTCCCAATCATTAAAAAAGCAGGAGTATAACTCACGTGTAGTTTCCTGAGCAGACACCGGAGGAGATTCCCCTTCATCATATACTGCAGAAACGCTGACTGTGTATAGGGTTTGTGAGGAGAGGTCTCTGAGGGAGGTACTGGCTCGTGATCTGTCCACCTCTACCTATAATAATTACAGAGCAGTGGAACTATTTTTACAAGGGGTTTAGTTTTGACATCTCTCTTGTTTACCATATCTCACAGCACAAGAGTGTAAGAACTGTAATATGAAAAAAGCAGTGATTGCCAATCTGCAGAAGAATTCAGACACTAGACACAGTTTAAATGTTTCCAAAGTGAAAAAAAAATGTTTGTACCAAAGCTGTATCTGACTCAATTGTGTGGCAAATAGTAGCTGGNCCAATCTGCAGAAGAATTCAGACACTAGACACAGTTTAAATGTTTCCAAAGTGAAAAAAAAAATGTTTGTACCAAAGCTGTATCTGACTCAATTGTGTGGCAAATAGTAGCTGCCTATGGTTCAACAACCTAACCATTTTCACCTGTTTCCTTCGTATCACTGCCCTGATGCTTTTGGAAATGTTCTTGTATGCATTATTCATTTGCTATGCACAAGAACCTTGTAAGACCCACTGGCCATTGTACCTCTTTTGCAATGGAAACCCAGAATTAAAGGAATGTGTGCACAGGTACCAATTAGCTTTTGTATAATCCACAAATGACAGCAAAACCAGTAACTGGATGCTTAGAGAAACTATTTCTATGTTCCAAAAATGCCTCTGAGATTTGGGCATTCATACTCCCGCATATATACACAAGTTTTAAACCCATTTGCTGATGAAGCCCCTTCAATTTGCTCCCACTCTGAATCAGGTTGTCATGGAAACAGGTCTCCACCCCAATGTCATCTCAAAAACATTCACTCCCAAAGAGACACTCCTCTAATAACATATTCCTCCTTTCTCTCTGTCCTGCTGAACTATTATCTTCCTATTATCTGACAAACATCCTTCTTTCCTATATCCTCTCGCTACCTTTTATTTTTAGAAACATTATGACACTTTTTAGTAATTCATAGAATGGAGAGCATCGTATAAGGCATCTCAATAACAAGGAAATAGCATTTAGATTCTATAACTATCTACTAAGGGATGATGTTTTAAAGATTAATATCACACAGCAAAACATTTCTAAACTAAATACAAAGCTATTTCAAAAAGTTCACGGAAAAATAGAATTGAAAGATAATTCAAATCATTCCACAAACTTTTTGAAGCCCTCTTGTACAATGCAGTCTGATATATTATTGATTTTCCAAAAGTGCTGAATTAATATCACAAGTTTTCAACACTACACTAACAAAATGACAAGTATTCAAAACATGCTATCATCTGTACTTGATAAAGTTCTTTTGTTCAACCTGCTGGGATAACAAATATTTCCTCATCCATTCTAATCTTCAACGTACCTCTTTCACATCCTCTTCCGGTGTTTTGTATCGAACAATATATTTACGCACTTTTCCAGGCACAGGTTCCCAAAAGACGTTCATGGTGCTGTGAGTCACATCTCTGAGTTTCAGATCTTCAGGTCTGGGTAGAGGCACTGGAGAGGCACAAGA